CAAAATACCTGGCACCCAAAAATAAAGGAGGAAAAGGTTTATTTGGTTTATAGTTTATAGAGGTTTGAGTCCATAGTTGGCTGGCTCCAAGGTAGAGTGGCAGGTAGTGACAGCAAAAGCAACAAGGAAGGGACCTTCTCAATGACTTCGTGCCCTTTATATTTTATCCAGGCTACTTATGTGGGTAGAGCACTCACACCCTTAATCCTAGTGACCTTGAGCCTAGCACTGCACCATGAATCAATTTGTCACACACTCTAGATCCAGCCACCTCTGAAAAAGCCCTACTACCTATGACTGCATGAGCTTTAGGGAGACATCTAAACACAAGCCATAGCAGTCGTGTTCTACGACATTTTTTTTATTGAGTTTATTGGTACATTCTAGGTATACAGTACAGTTACATTCATTACTGGGATCTTGTACTTTTACATAACAGGTCTTGGCTCTCATTTTTTCCCCTTATCCCTACCCTCCCTTCACCCCCTCCTACCCTCCCCATTTACAAACACTTTAATTCCATTTTTTCATTTTCTCACATTTTTTCTTTTCCCTTATTCCCCTTCCCCTACCCTTCCCACTTTCCCTATACCTTTAGCCCTTTTCTTCCTATTTCACATTGTTAATTGTCCCATTAGGATCTTGAGTATTATAGTTTTTCACACCAGAGAAACTATTTGGTATTTACACATATGTGACTTATTTATTTTACTTAGGAGTATATCCTCAAAATGTATCCATTTTCCTATGAATGACTCTACTTTCTCATTCTTTATGGCTGAGTAGTATTCCATTTTATAGAAAAATCTTCTTTATTCAGTTTCCACCTGATGGTCAGATGGACTATTTCCAAGTTTTAGCTATTACAAATTGTGCTGCTATAAATATAGGTGCACATATGTCACTGTGATATGATTCTTTTAGCTCTTGGAAAGATACTCAGCAGAGTGATGGCTGGTTCAAATGGAACCTCTAGTCCTAGCTCTTTGAGGTATCTCCATATTGATTTCCATAGTGGTTGCACCAGTCAACATAGTGAAAATGGCCATATTACCAAAACTGCTATACAGATTCAATACAATGCCAATTGAAATTCCAACACTATACTTCACAGAACTAGAAAGAGGAATACAAAAATTCATTTGGAACCATAAGAGTCCTAGAATAGCAAAAGCCACCCTAGGCAACAGACGCATGGCAGTGGGTATAACAATTACCAATTTCAAAGTATACTACAAAGCCACTTGTGATAAAAACAACATGTTACTGGCAAAGAAACAGACCTGAGGATCAGTGGAACAGACTGGAAGACACAAAAACAACTCCAGATGTCCTCAGCTACCTTATCTTTGACAAAGGAGCTGATCATCTCCACTGGAGGAAAGATAGTCTCTTTAATAAATGGTGTTGGAAAAACTGGATCTCAACTTGCCAAAGATTAAAACTAGACCCTTATCTCTCTCTCACCATGCACTAAATTAAAATCCAAGTGGATTAAAGATCTAAATATTAAAACAGAAACACTAAACTTGCTGGAAGATAACTTAGGCAGAACTCTGGAAGACAATGGCATAAGAAAAGACTTTATGAACAAATCCTCAGTAGCATGGGAACTAGCAGAAAGAATCAACAACTGGGATCTCATCTTATTAAAAAGCTTCTGCACTGCAAAGGAAACCATCAACAGAACTAAGAGACAACCTACTATGTGGGAGAAATTTTTACTAGTTGCTCCTCAGACAAAGGACTATTATCTAGAATATATAAAGAACTCAAAACAATCAGACCCCCCAAATATAAAGACCCAATTCTAAAATGGGCATTAAATATATGAAAAAATGTTCCACATCACTGGTCATTCTAGAGATGCAGATGAAAACAGCACTGAGATGCCACCTCACCCCACAAAGAATGGCTGCTATCAAGAAATCACACAGTAACAAATGTTGGCGGGG